GAGAGACGAAACGTTTCATTAAAGAAGAACCCGTCCAGAGGACCTATACAATTTTTTTTCCTTTTGACTCATACGGTGTTAAATAAAAAAAAATTAAGTAGTTTCATGTTGATGCTCTTAGTGACTTAAATCACCATGTTGCTGAAAAGCTGAAATAAAATATCAGTGTTATCCTTAGATCTGCAGTGGGGGGGAAAGGGCTGAAACCAAATATTTGCTCCAATTTCGCAGAGGTTTTACTCAACTTCAGCCACGTTAATCCAATGTTAGCCCTCATTTGAAGACTGATTACCTGCAGCCTCCTGATTACACTGTAACTGTGAGACCGCCGCTTGGCGCTGCAGCCCCCCCAGCCACCCCCTTCCCTTCCATACCTCAGCTCTCTCTCTCTCTCTCTCTCATCCTTTTCTGCAGTGAAGTGTGAACATTAAAGTGAATGTGGAGGAGGAGTTCTCACAGCGGTGGAGGAGCCGGGGCTCAGAGAGACACAGATCGCAGCAAAACGCAGGCAGATTGCGATGTATGCCGTTTGAGCAGAGGCTTCAGCGGGGACAAAAATTTTTWAAAAAAAGGAATGAGCATCTTCACAGGGCGGCTGGGAGGGTTTCTAATCTGAGAGGAGCGTTTGGATCCTGTCCACCCAACATCTGCCAGGTAGGTTCATCACCCTGTATCTGTCTGATCTGCATCCAAACCTTATTTCCGCAAATAAACCAATCAGTCTGCATTTCTAATCTTCAGCTRTTGTTTTTCTTTTAGAAATGTAGCTTTAAAGTGAAGTTTGGCTACAAAATGTCTGAAAATGAAACCAGTTCRGAATTCAAGCTGTTTTATTGATGAAGAAGTAAGATGCTGAATATTTTAGGGCTCGCAGTGAACCCTCCCTGTCTGATTCTGCTCTCAGCTGTGCTGCACCCCCCACCACCACCATCCTTCCTTCTCTCCCCTGCTCATCCCCAAAATCTCCAAAAAAWACTCTCTCATCTGTGTCAACCAGCYTCTGTAAATGTCCCTGTGTGTCCTGTGCTMCACACTCTGTCCCTCTGACGGTCGAAGTCCTGCTCGTCCACCCCGGTTTCCTCTCATCCCGACAGGACTGGTCCATYTTCTGTGCTGACTGGAGTCCTGAGATCTCACTGCAGATGGTATCAGCTCAGGATACACCAACACAGAGCTGTGAGGGAAATACCCCCACAGCAGCAGGCAGCACTTATTGCCTCTCTATAAAATGCAATAAGGGCATTCCTCACAGTTTGAAATGACACCTCTCCACTATCCCATGTGGTTTTTTTTTATATCTTCTCAGTCGTAGACCTGAAATGGAGATGATAGCTCCTAAGTAATTGAAATTTTTTTTTAGAGTTGATGGACTGTTAAATCCAGAAAACAGCTTTAAAATCTCATTGTTTATATCAGCTAGTTTCTCTGCGGTTTCTAAGAAATAAATAAAATCAAACCCAATCTGTCCTAAGAACGCTGCTTTGTTGATTTTCAGAGCAGTTTTGAATCCCATGAGTGCGTCTATTATGTTCTGTTTTCTTTATTTGGATGATTAATAACCCATCTTTATTTATCTTTAACGCAGATCGAGCTGCTTTCTGGCCTTTCTTTTATAAAATCTGATGTTTTCAGCTTCAGCTTGTTAAGCAGCAGTGTCAGAGGCGTGGGCTACTTTTCTTTTCTGATCTCCTGCACAATTAATATTTCCAAAACGAAGCACGAACATCGAGCCGCTGAGCAAGATCAGAAAGAATATATTTGTTTTAAGTAAAAAAAAAACTTCTCTTATTCAAGTCGATTTTAGAGTGTACACACAAAAAAGACAAAGAACACCATTAGCAGATGAAGTGCTCTGTAAGTGTAATCGAGCATTGTTGCTTTCTATAAAAGCCATGTTTGTAGGCATCAATCAAACACTTACTGAACAGGTGTTGCTTTGAAGTCCGCTCAGTGGAAAAAGGAGRGTTTTGTTGTTTTCTCCAAATATACGTGAAGAGCTAATTCAAACCTCTTTGAAACGATCACAGCACATCCACATCCATCTGCTCAGCTCCATTTTATTTGGATCACACTCAAGCTTTACGGTGGCAGATGAAGGCAGTACTCAAAAACAACAACACAAAACCAAGAAGGTGATGCAAAAGAAAAGCAAATTATGGCCAAGCATTCCTTGAAGAAATGCATCCCCYCCAGGGTTTTAAATTAGGATCATCTCATACCTAGAAGTCAAACCAGGGGCCTGTTCAAATACTGTTTATACATCAGGATTTCAGGAGTAAGCTGAGCTTGAATAACCCTTAAACTTTTAAACAACAGTGCACAAATGTCAACCGGATGATCACTTCAAGCCAGCTGTCAATCATTTCAGATGAAAACTGGTTTATTTATACAGGTTTGCTTGTTAGACCCACTGCATGGATGACAGATTTCCTGATCCCGCATCTAATTTCTCTCCAGCACGGCAATGGTTAATATGAAAAAATGAAACACAGGATCACTAAAAAGCAAAAAGCACTTTTCAGAGAGAGAGAGAGAGAGAGAGAGAGAGAGAGAGAGAGAGAGAGAG